CCCACCCTGTATATGATGCTTCGCGCAGTAGGCTCGAAATAAATGCCGTGAGATCGATGAATGTTGAAAAATTTGACGATCTACCGCTAGCTGTGAACATCTATATTCCGGAATTGAAATTGTATCTTTTCGATGTTTTGATGTTGTCGTATCAAGAAACAGGTACGCCAAATTTTGGATGTATGCGAATCATTTCCGGAATATCGGTAACGATTGGTGAAGAAAAGATGCTCGAGCGTTTTTTATCCAATCATTCCGTAAAGAGTGATAAAAACACTTCGTTTTTACGCGATGCCGTTATCGCTACTAGAGATTTGGGATCTATGCATTTGTCTAATGATAATATACCGACTTTGCTTCGATGGCTACTCGATGAAGATCTTCTTTTATTCAGAGACAAGCATGCAATTTACATCGGGCTTATTGCAAAAAACGGTCTCAGGTCCTAGGATCATTGCGCCTGTTTCTTTTGTTGCGCGAAAGAAACGATGTATTCGATCTCTAGGACCTTAAACCAAGCGAGGTACATATTTAACTGTATTCAAATAAGCTGTAATATGAATAAATGTTATTATGTCTGTACGACAGAGCGATTTAAATTTTTTAATAGACCCATCCTACTTTCGTACAGATGGTCCTAATCGGCGGTATTTTCTGACAGAGATACTCACGAATAGTTCGACCGATATTGAAACATGGCACCAGCGTTATCCGTTGCTGTCTCGAGCGTGTATAAAAGATCACTTAACCCAGCAAACACCAAGGTAACAGTTTCATAACGTCAATATTAATGTAATATAACACATACCTGTTATATTACATTTGCATTGATGTTATGTAATTGTTACTTTGGTGTTTGCTGGGTAAACGTGATTTGGGGGACCAAACCTATCATGCAATTTTATCGTGTATGCATACGATATTTATACGAACGGATTTCAACCAAACTCGAGGCACTTGCAAGCAAAGGCGCAAATTCCTTCGATAAATTTGCCAACACACCGTGTAAGACGATCGTACACTATTTGTATCCCCTTGATGCTCGCACGACTTTCAAAAGCGTTCGGCTCGCCGTTAGCGTCGACAAGGGCCTTTTCTTTGCTAGGAATGTCTATGTTTCGCAGGAGAAACAAGGAGCCTTGGGCTTCGGCGCAAAATTGCTGAGAAATTACAGCGATCTTGTGCCACTGGAAATCTCCATGAGTACGGATGGTCAATTTCAGGTCATTATGGAGCGATCGAAGATTTTGACAAACATATCGCCTGATATGCTGCTCGCGAAACATGGGAGTTATCATATACCTAAGGAAATATTTGAACATCGAACGTATCTTTTCGAACTTTCGTCAAGTGCCTCAATAGTATATCTAGAATATGAACTCACGACAACGTTTTTGAACGATTGTTCGTTTAAAAGGCGTGCACATTTGTTTGAGCTTATATTTTTGGCTTATCCGCACACAAAATTGACAATAACATATCCGCAAATGAACAAAATATCAGTTCGTTTAAGCGGTCGTCTGGCGCGTATGCAGGACGATGTTGGGCCTCTTATACAGAATCTAGAAAGGATAATAAAAAAATTTCAAAAGGAAGATACAGCTCACGAAGGCACTTTGTTTGCGAATGAATTTATCTATCATAAACGCCGTAATCGTAGTGTTCTAAGACAACGCGAAATGCGTTTACTCTTGTACAGTTTGGCATTTAACATCGAGGATCCGATAATTTTGAAGAAGTTGAGAGAGTCTCGTCTGCCGGAAATATTTCCTACCTTGGACATACCATTTTTGCGTAGTTTAAGAAAAAATATTAATTTCGAAAAATGTTTCAAACAACGTATCGACGCCGAGGCCGGAATAGCCTGTACGTACTCGCGATATCCGATGCTCGTTCGCGAACGCGTGCATAACGATCTCGTCGTGAATACTTGCCAAGCTGTTGCAAGAGAATGCATTTCATTGGGGCGCCGTTATTCGTTTTTTAAGGAATCTATCGCAGTAGCCGGCACTGCTTTCGCGATCGATTCCTTTGGAATTATTCCACGTATACTTGGAGTCAAAACAGTCTACAGTATCGACACCGCGTTGTCATTGTTACCACGATTATGCTATGCCATACGCGTAAAGGAATACAACGCATTAATTTTGATACTCAGATGGAATAACGATGCTATATTGCTTGATACGGTAGCGACAGCTCACGAATCCAACGCGTTCATCGTGGCATCCGCGTCGTATGATTGGCTTTTTAATTTCGAATAACACTGTTCAAAATACAATTCGATGTTCCTCACAGGATTCCAAGACCATTCACCCGTGCTCGGACCTTGCATTCGAGCATGTTCGTTTGTGTCAAAAGAGTATCCTCGTGCCGAAAAATTTGGACAATCGATTATCTTTCACCGCGGGAATCAAACTCGTACTTCTTGACGTACCATTGACCAGTAAATTTTACGGTATGTGCGTGGTTTATTCTACGAAGAACTCTTCCGGAACGAGACTTATAGGAGACGAAACTCTTGGCCGATACTTCACCAAGGTGTACAAGGAGGATAAGCTTCGTGCTATCCTGATAGATCCGAGCAATGTCCGCCAAGCAAATACGGTACTCGAAACGTATCCTTACTACGATAAACGATGCGTTCCAGTGTACGATTGTACATCCGACAGGGAATACGATACCTGGCGGTGGACATTAACGACGTTGGATCTCGACGTGACGAACGCTCTGAAAATTGTGATACACGCATCCGATGTTGTACAGAATCGCGAGTTACAAAAGATATTAGGTCCACACAATTTCGCGCGACCCATCTGGCGTGGTCGAATAAGCGATATTCTCGATATGGAATCGCAGATCGAGATACAATATATAAGCAATCTAAATACGTTCATAAATCTCTATTATCTTTCTGGGCTGATTTGTGAAAATAAAATCCCCCATTTGGAAGATGTCTCGTACAAACATAGACGCAAAGTGTGGACAAATTGCTGCGAGACCGTAGCCAAAAACAATTATGCGCAATATCGCGCGCGAACGCGAGATCGTCCCAAATCATTCGACAATTATATTCGCGACGTATTGGCCAACGACGATGGATGGTTTGCCATAATGGATTCCAGAGTTCGTCGGGAGATCGTTCGTTATAGCGTTCCGAGCCACGACGATCGAGAGGCAGCATGTACAACGACGCCAAATGACGATCTGTTGAACTCCATCAACATCTTGTCGTACGCAACGCGAAATCGACAGATCGAGCCACATTCGTGTAGAAAAAAAGATAGCTTTGTTCCCGAGAGCCTAACCGGCGACACCGAGGTGAATGAAGCAGAGGAGGAGCTCGAGGGTTCGAAGATGTTTCACGAGGAGGACGATGATGAGAGCGAGGACGACGACTACGGTGCGCCAGTCAGCAAAAATATGTCAACAGACGTCGTACATCCAGATGTACTCGAGCGTATAAATAACTAAAAAACTTACCTTTTTAAAAAAAGGTAAAAAAAAGCGCCAAGTATAAGCTCCAACGACCGAATATATTTTGTTACTCTATCTTTTTTGCATCTCTACAAAAATATCCTCACTACAAAGCTATCTTCTCTACAAAAGTAATGATGTCATCAAATAGCGCCAATTAAACTAAATAGTTTTAAACGTGGTGGGGCGATGATTGGAGTGGGGGCATGCCCGCCGGCTGGGCGCCCGCAGACGCCCGTTGCCCGTGGTTTAGACAATTTGCATCTCTACAAAAATATCTTCACTACAAAACTATCTTCTCTACAAAAGTAAT